TGTCTGAGTCAATAATGATTTTTTTGTTTGTTCAATATTTTACATTTTAAACAGAAAATAACATTTTCATTTTACTCGATAACAAAAGTCAATTCCCATCAGGAATTTGTCTTATTTTGTACCGTTGGACAGTTAGCCATCGTAGGAAAAATAACAGCAGAAAAGTTTGTACGCCATCATCATACCGACTATTAAGAAAATGTGTTTACAATGAGCGACCTTGACAATGTAACACCGATAACCATTGAGACAATTCTTATCGGCTAATACGGAGCATTTGCTAGCAATCTTTCGAAATTGATGTAGAAAATTAAATAATAAATATACCATTAGTGATATCAAACAATGATGATGCAATATCAACTAAAATGCATAGGAAAGACTAACGACATTGAGATATTCGAAGATTTTCAAAACTAATTCATCGGTCAACGATTCTAAATTCGTTGGCTTTGTCTATCATATGGTAAAATAATAAATCTTTGAATGCCGCTATTTCTTTGCTTACTTCTCCTGAAGACATAAAAGTAAGGAAAATTTTCAACCAAAAACAAATGATAAATCAAATTGTTAGTTAGTTCGATATATTTTTTATTGGAATAATAGAATTGGGTGTGGGGTGTAGGTGTGGGTATGGGATGAAAATCCCTTAATTCACACTCACACTCACCCACACCCACACCCTAGTCTAATGAATACCTATGAAAGACTATCTATAGATACGAATTTTTTTGACGAAACAAATCTTCAAATATACTAAGCAATAGTAGATATTGATAAATAAATATTTTTTTTGAAATTTTATTTCGCGATGTTTGTTCACTTTTTTTTACAATTAATGTATAAGTGACATGATAAGAAAGTTTATGAGAATCTTCATTTGAATATATTTTATTGAATCAATATTAGAATTTAAGAGTATAGATAACAAATTCTAAACTGATTATTAACATTTTAACGTTATTCGACTTTGTAAAAAAGCTCAGATGACATTATGTAATCAAAATAGTATTGCATATCTTTAAACATTAAACATATTTTGATACGTAGATAGATTACCTGTATGGAATAACTATGGGTGACTTTCACAGTTTTCAATATATAAGACACTAGTTTTCACAGATCTTTACATATTCAAACTAAAGTTATTAATTGGTACACATAATCATACCATTTTTTGATACAGACAGATATATATATACCATTTAGATAAAGTCGTTTGACAAATCCAAACGTAAAATTTTGTATGGGTCTTTGAGCCATGAAAATCTTATTGTCACTGTTGAATCTCATTAAAATTTATGTGATTGTCTTTGAAATAAACTATTTGTAGATTGAAACTAAACAATTACAATTAATCTTGATGAAAAGCATTATATGAAGATCTGTTTGCTTGAAGAAAGATTACTCTTCATTCACGAATGATATTTTATGGCATTTCTATAATATTTAAGTATAGAACGTCTTACTAATATCTAGAATGTAACTCATTAAAATCTTCTAATATTCAGAATTATTGGTTTAGGAGTAATGATATAAATATTTCATTCAGTGATATTTTATATCTATATCTACTATCACTTGCGAGTTCATCATTGTTTGTTTTATTGATCTCTGAATAATTTGCAACTCTATCGAATAGATGCATATATCCATTGAAATATAAAGTCGGTTGATGATGTTCAACTAAAAATGCAAGTTTATCAACTTTGTCATCATCAATCTAGCCTCAATGCAAAATGTAGATGCTAGAGATAAATAATTTTTCTTTTGTAAGTCTAAGTTTATGAAATCACTTTGTTCTATTTTTTAGCAAACTATTTTCCATTAAGATTTCTTCAATTTTTCAAGTTAAGCAATTTCAAAACTAAGAAAGCTTTCGGAAAAAAACTTTATTTACATTAGGAAAAGTTTTTAAATATTCTTTCATAACATAATAAACGTCAGCTCTAGAGAACCAGTTCTTGAATATTTGTTCGATTTTATAGTCTTTTTAATATTATGCTAAGCATATATAACCCACAGATAGATTTTCGTGACGTTAATTGCATATGAATCAATGACCATGTAGAAAAATGAAATGAATATAATGCAATTGAGACTAAAAGGAGAGTAAAAAAAATGTAATATTACGTTTCTTCAATAGTCCTTTGTTTACATATTTTATCGGCACATTTTTATTCATCGTACAGGCACGAATGGAAGAAAAAAACAACGACAACAATAATAAAAATAACTTTGTGACTTTTCCTTTGTTGATTGATCTTTTCTGAATCGGATGCATCTTCAGAAGAAACTTAAAAGAATCATTAACTCAACCTTCCAGCCAACGCTTATTATTTGAGGAAGACAGTTTTGCATTTCAAAAAAAGATATCAAACATACAGTACAATAACAATGATATTTTTCTCATTTTTAAATCAAGAAAAACAGTTTTCATGCCTGCCATATTCCTACTGATTTTAGTCAGAAAGATATCAGCAACTCTTTTTATTATTTCTTGATTGTATACGAGCATATATGACTCTGTTTTACAATCATACAAGCAGAAATTGTTTTCAATTAAAACATGTTTTGTACTATGGTTACAATTGATATACATTTATAATACACATAGTTCTAGTGATACATGTTTGGATAGGAGAAGTTTTCCTGTTACCATTGTAGCATTTGTTAAAATTGTGTGAACAGACACAACTTGAATATTATTTCTTTATGAATCTTAGAAATTAATGAAAGAGGGATAGTTATTGAAAAATACGAAAACAAAATATCGTTTTATTATACCGTGCGTTTGATAATTCACTGACCAAAAAGAAAACTCAATATCTCAACCATTTCTCAACCAAATCGAGCATTTTTTTTTTAAATGAAAGAGAAATGTTCAAAGTTTATATCTATAGAGACATGCCTAGAGAGATCCTTTTTTATGTATTACTATTGACCTCAACACAAGAATTTTACTTTTTTACAGATAGAGAAAAAAACAATACACATAACAAAGGATCTCTCTAGGCTTGTCTTTACGAATATAAAGTTTGAACATACCTCTATCATTGATAAAAAAATCAGCTCGTTTGTCTGAGCCGTAATGGAGATATTCATTTTTTTTGGCAAAATGACTTTTGCCCCACTCCGTATATTAGTTTTTCTCCTATCTGTGAAAAAGTAGAATTCTTGTGTTGAGGTCAATAGTAATACATAAAAAAGGATCTCTCTAGGCATGTCTTTATAGATATAGACTTTGAACATTTCTCTTTCATTTTAAAAAAAAATGCTCGATTTGGTTGAGAAATGGTTGAGATATTGAATTTTCTTTTTGGTCAGTGAATTATCAAACGCACGGTATATATATTTTTTCGAATGAACATGAATAAAAAAATTACTTCAATTAGACGGTCAGTGATTTAGTATATTCGGCAACTAGATATCATTGTTTAACCTTTGTCTATATAAAAACTAAAATGATGTTTATTCTTGTTTGATTCACATTATCAGCATGCCAATCGTATGCATAATGAGAAAAAAAACACACAGACGATGTCCTTGGTTTTCTTCGTTCTTCTCAGCAAGAGAAAAAAGTTTGGTTCTGAAAGAATCGAAAAAAATATATACAACGTATGAGAAAAGATATCAATAAAATGAAACTTATGTCACGCTTCACATGAAACGTAAATGCAAGTAGTAAAAAATAATAATACCATAAATGACGTTGATGGGTTTTTCCCTTTAATTTCTTTTTTTGACAAGCATACCTTTGATTGATACTAGGCATAGGTTGTTATTGAGTATCGGCGAAAAAATAAAATATTAACATTTGACGCCGTAGAAAAATCTAGAAAAAAACAACATGCATCGAATATATAAATACGAAAGGTAAATTCTGTTCACACACATTATTCACCAATACATTGAAAATGAGTCGACAACGACAACAACGTATGACTGAAAACTATTTAGTCATATGGGTCGATGCGAATATCAATATGGAAAATGAAGATTGCCGACATACACTGTCGCAATTACGAGGTATTGTTAATGAAGTCAAATTATGCATGACAGCAGAAGAATGCCTCACATTACTCAACGAAAACAAGGAGGAGACATCTTTTATTATCTCCTCTGGTAAACTTGGACAAGTTCTTCTACCATCTATTCATGGAATACGAAATCTTAATACTATATATATCTTTTGTCGCAACAAGGAATATCATAAAGAATGGGCTAAGCATTGGACAAAAATTAAAGGCGTCCACAAAACAATCAAATCCATATGCAAAGCATTGCAAGTAGCTGTCAAGCAATGCAATCAAAATAATACAGTGTTCAGTATAATTAGTGCTGATACAGATGGTTCTAGTGAAAATCTTAATCAGCTAGAACCATCATTCATGTATACTCAAATATTCAAGGAAATACTTCTTGACATGGAACATGACCAAAAAGCCATTAAAGACTTGGTCACATATTGCCAAGAACAATACGAAGGCAATACTAACGAACTCAAATTAATCAATGAATTTCAACGTAATTATCATCCAATATTGGCCTTGTGGTGGTATACACGTCAATGTTTCACATTCAAAATGCTCAATCGTGCATTACGAACACTCGACGGTGACCTAATCATTAGAATGGGATTTTTCCTGTGTGATCTTCATCGACAAATTGAAGAATTACACAGCCAACAGATCAGTCAGTATCATGGAAAGTCCTTTTTAGTTTATAGGGGCCAAGGATTATCGACAGATGACTTCGAAAAACTTCCAAAGAACAAAGGTGGTCTCATATCTTTCAACAACTTTTTATCCACCAGTACAAAACGAGATGTTTCCCTCGGTTTCGCCAGAGATGCCTTAGGAGCAACCGATATGGTCGGTATTCTCTTTGAAATAACCATCGATCCCAGGGTCCCATCGACTCCTTTCGCCTCCATCCAGGAGGTGAGTTATTACAAGGACGAAGCGGAAATTCTCTTCTCCATGCACACCGTTTTTCGAATGGATGAAGTTCGAAAACTGGACAAGAGAAGTCCACTTTATCAAGTGGACCTTAAACTTACGTCGGATGATGACCAACAACTTCGTCAATTAACCCATCGTGTAAGAGAAGAGGTCGATGGCAGCGGCTGGTACCGAATGGGTAAATTACTCTTGAAAATAGGTCAATCCGGTAAAGCTGAAGAATTGTATCTCGCGCTACTAGAACAGACAACCAACGACACTGCTACAGCACGTATCTATAATATGCTTGGAGAGGTGAAATACGAACAAGGACAATACAAAGAAGCAGGATCATTCTACAAAACAGCTCTTGAAACGTATCGAAAAACTCTACCGAAAGATGATTCAACGTTGGCTGAAATTTACCAAAATATTGGTGCAGCGCATTGTTCCATGGGTAACTATCCGAAAGCACTTGAATTTTACGAAAAATCACTTAAAATAAGAGAAAAAGTTCTGTCTCCGAATGATCCCAATTTGGCTAGTTCCTACAACGACATCGGTCTCGTGTATAACAACATGGGTGACTACTCGAAAGCACTTGAATTTTACGAAAAATCTCATAAAATTCTCGAAAAAGCTCTGCCTTCGAATCATCCCAATTTGGCTAGTTCCTACGCTTGCATCGGTGTAGTGTATAAAAACATGGGTGACTACTCGAAAACACTTGAATTTTACGAAAAAGATCTCGAAATCAAGAAAAAAGCTCTGCTTCCGAATCATCCCGATTTGGCTAGTTCCTACAACAACATCGGTGGAGTGTATAACAACATGGGTGACTACTGGAAAGCACTTGAATTTTACGAAAAATCACATAAAATCTTCGAAAAAGCTCTGCTTCCGAATCATCCCAATTTGGCTACTTCCTACAACAACATCGGTCAAGTGTATAACAACATGGGTGACTACTCGAAAGCACTTGAATTTTACGAAAAAGATCTCAAAATCACGAAAAAAGCTCTGCCTTCGAATCATCCCGATTTGGCTACTTCCTACAACAACATCGCTTCGGTGTATGATGACATGGGTGACTACTCGAAAGCACTTGAATTTTACGAAAAAGATCTCGAAATCACGGAAAAAGCTCTGCCTGCGAATCATCCCGATTTGGCTACTTCCTACAACAACATCGGTCTAGTGTATAAGAACATGGGTGACTACTCGAAAGCACTTGAATTTTACGAAAAATCACTTAAAATAAGAGAAAAAGCTCTGCCTTCGAATCATCCCAATTTGGCTACTTCCTACGCTTGCATCGGTGTAGTGTATAAAAACATGGGTGACTACTCGAAAGCACTTGAATTTTACGAAAAATCACTTAAAATAAGAGAAAATGCTTTACCTTCGAATCATCCCTCATTGGGTACTTCCTACAACAATATCGGTTTGGCGTATTTCGGCAAAGATGACTACTCAAAAGCACTCTCATTCTTAGAAAAGGCACTTTCTATCTGGCAAAAATCACTTCCACATAATCATCCTAATATTAAAACAGTTACAAACTCAATTGACAATGTAAAAAAGAAAATGTAACTGTAATTTTTTCTTTTCACTTGCTTAATAAATTTATTCACATTGCTAATCGTTTCGATTTTTCTCGGTTCATTTTGGCTTATTCGCGTGCGCGCGACAAGGAAGAGATCCCTTGTCAATGCCATAGGTACTACAGGCGGACCACGCCGGACTGGTAGGGCAATGACCGAAGGTATGCCGTATGAACGGTAGGGACCAACGACACATAGAGGCCTTCCCCAGTGCTACACTGCTTCGCTATGGCAAAATTCCTCTACCTATTGAATCAGACAACGTAGCTATCTGATCCACATTGATGACTCAACTCATCTCAAATAAACTCATACTCATAATAACAGATAGTATTTACTTTTTCTCAAAATAACTTATCTCAACTCCACTAAACTAAATATGTAAAAAAAATTTTTCTTCTTACTTCTCAATATTGTATAATATCGAAACTCATCTAAAAAAAAAGAAAAAAAAAGTTTTATTAAATATATAATGAATTTTTTATTTACCTTATATAGAATTTAATAATATCATTATCATTGTAAATAATATCATAATAATAATAATAAACCCGGGTATATAAATACATTGTAATGCATTATAATAATACAACTCGAGTGTATACTGTTTCATAGTGATGTATTCATGTTTTTATATACCCTGAGATTAATGGACCGATGTTCAAAATTTTGATTGATTTTTTATCAATCATTCTACTTCTGTATTAATTGATTTGATGATTTTTTTTTCTCGTCTGACATATATCTATATCATGTCATCGTCGACGAAAAAAAATTTTCATGTTACTTATATATAGAGGGTGTTGTCTTTCTCCTTCATATTGCTCGTCTTCAAATAAGAATACAAGACAAGAGAATTCATCAACTCGAGTAACTTAAAAAATAGGTGTGTTTTGTTTTTACAAAATGTGATCTTTATTTTAAGAATGTCTGAAATACATACATGTCTAAATTATATAGAATAAGACAGCGTTTGTCTCTCTACTGAACAATATATTTTTTATTGGACGTCTTCATTATGTTCAATATATATGTATTTGAGAAATTTCTGAGAACTTTTTACGTGAACTTTTTTCACGTATAGTTTTTCGACTTTTCTTTAAAGAAATGTTAGTTGTGCAAAAATTGAAATTTCTACACATTTAAGATTGATGAATTTCTTTCATTTCAAGTGATTTTCATCGTTACTAAATTTTATTTTCATTGGAATATAGTGCTTCTCAGGATTTATCTAATTTTCGTCCAAAATGTATCAACTTGTACATAACAAACTATGAATGATGTGTATTAATTTATATTGTCATATTCATCGATATAGTAATGAATATATAAACAGCTATGAATTCATCTCAAAATAGTCTCCTGATGATAGAGTATATCATATTTGTACTCTTTAAATTTTCAAGATTTATCGATGAAAACAAAATTCATCATTATAAACATTTTGAACAAACAACTGTAATGTAAAAGTAATATTATTTCTAGATTTTTATACGAAACTGTATATCAGACAAAGTATTAGTACAAAAAAGGGTAAATATTGAACATATTCTCTCATTAAAAGATTATGTTGACAAAGTTCTTCTTTCATACGTTGTTGTACTTGTGGATATTTACTCATATAAAATCTAAACCAAGTTAAAGCAGTTGATGTTGTTTCATATCCTGCTGTTAATATTGTTAATATTTCATCAAACATTTCAGATCGTGTTAAACCTAATGATATTTGTTGATCATTAGCTTGTTCATTAATTTATGAAATAAATTATGAAATTAAATTCTTTGCTTTTTGTTATTCTTCTCTATTTTGATTATTTTGTTCTTGTTGAACAATTTTTTCCATAAATTATTTAATAAGTCGATATATTCTTTGATATTTCCAATTTAATTTTAAATAAATTCTATTAAACCATGTAGGTAACGATGATATTAGCATAACAATTGATGAATGATAAACAAAATCTTGAAGTGGAATTTTTTATGATGAATTCTCATGATTTTCAAGATCATAATCAAATGCAATTAATCCAATTATATTCATTGTCAATGTTTGACAAAGAACAAGAAGATTTTCATATATTTTACCATTATGAAGATATTCATGAATAAAACAATCTGTACATTCAATAATTATATATGAATGTTGTATAACTTTAGCTCGTTTAAATATAGGTAACATCACCCTCAATATGACCTTTCCATTTTTCACCTCTCAATACAGTCAAACTATTAGGACAAAATCAAAATTAGGTAAAAATAATGGAGATTAATCGAATGTATATTGATCAGAGAATATTTTTTGAGCATGTTCAGGTAAACAAAATATAAAACATGGATCTGAAACAAACCAATATACAAATTTATCACCAAATCAACATTGATAATCAACCATTATTTCATAAAAAGTTAATTTACCCGTTAATAAACCTGAATTGAATAAATAACCAAAAAGAATTTGTGGTTTACTATCTGATAAATCATTATTTGTAAGAATATAAAATCGTTTTAAATAAATCTAAACAAGAATAATTGTCACCAGAAAAAGAATAATAAATAATAATAATAGCATTAAAATAAAAATAATATATTAGACATGTTTTGACGAATACATCTACCTTTTGAATATTGTTCGAACTTTTTGTATTCCTCTAAGTAAAGAATGTTTTATTATCTTGTCCGCACATGTCGTGTAGGAAGAGAACAAATAGTAATTAAATAAGTATGAATAATGCAGCTGACATTTACACAATGACTATAACATATTTCAATGTTATTTTTTTATCTAAAACATGTAAATCTACGAACTACAATATACATTTTTTTAAATTTTATTCAAATCAATGATAACCCTAGAGAATGTACTGAGTTCAGGGTACCCGAAAAAGTACCCTGTTACCAGTATGTCACAGGAACTTTTGGGTACCTAAGTACTTTAAAGTACTTTTAGGTACTCACTGGGTACTTCGCCAGGTACCCTGCTGTAAAGAATATAGTATATAGGTACTTATAGGTACTGCTTAGGTACTTGATTCGGTACTAATAGCAGTACTTACAGGTACCTTGTTACAAAAACACCAGTATGTTCGCGGTCGAATTTTACTTTCGACTTCGTTATTTTTTTTTGTCGTAATACGTCTCAAAGT